TGCTATGTCTTAAGATGAAAAGGTTTATATTTCAGAAAGTGGTAGTGATTTATTTTTACAGAAATAAAAAAAAATTCAAACAGTGCCTCACCTTCATTTTTAATAAAACCTTTAAAAGATTAAAAGAATATTGGATCTGAATTAGGCCCACTGCTCTTGTTTTTTACAGTCATTAACTCAACACATGTGGAATAACACTATGAAAGCCCTTGTTCAACTTTTCTTATGTAGGTGGACACAAAGTTCAGTCTGAAAGTTGAGGTTTGGGACAAGGACCCCGTAAATGATGACCTGCACGAGGCTACTGACCCAGGGAAGCCGCAGCTTTACCTGCTCAGGGATTGGAAACGTACAGGTGAAATACACTTTGACATGTGATGCCTACCTGACTGGAGACAAATGAAACTATTATAAACCAACTCCTTAGTTGCAACAGCAAAATCATTACTATTAGCTCACTCCATCATGTTTCAAACTTTTTTTTTATTTGGTTGATTAAAATTTCACCCTAAAATCTGCTGATCACCAACTATACGTTAGTAGACAATGTAAAACAAATTATTCTTATTTTCAACAAACACATTTTGACCACTGAGAAGCATGAGCTGCCATGTACCCACGGCAAACCAAACTGTTCATTTATTTGGTTTTTAATGTTCACATTTTCTGTTGTGTCAAAATTTGTGTGATCGTGTTTTTTCCAAATAAAGACTTCTGGCTTGATGTAATATTAATAAAGTTTTTACTATTAGTAGAAAGCATATCTTGTCCTTATTTGTTATCATATGTCTTAATGTGGAGAAAGCCCTTAGAGCATACAAACTTCCCTAATTCCCTGACCATAAACACGGTATTATCTGAATATCCCTTAGAGTTAACAGAATTATATTAAATTCTGTTGACCTGCACTGTAAATCCTTACTGAATACTTTCTGTTGTAAACAGAGGAATATTCACCAGAAACAACAGAGTTGGAATGTAGCATTTACATTACATTTAAAAAGTTGTTCAGAACCAGGACTCCGAACACAGTGTCATGTTGTGTGTGTTTTGAAATTGAAATGTGCTTTTTGACAGACATAAAACAACAATAGAAATGCAATCAAATGTCAGGTAATATACAGAAGAGCTGCTATAATTGACTTTTTTTGTAATTGAGAATACATTGTTAATAATAACACAAAATTTAACATATACAATAAAAATGTGTTGTAAATATGCGCAATAAAATGGAATGCTGTGTTGTTTAACACAAATATTTATACATTTGGAAGCAGGGTAGTTTTATTTAGCCTGAAAGTGAGCTAAATAATATTTAATCACTGTCTTACATGTGCAAAAAGAATTTAACTCATAAGGATCTGGTCAAACAAAGGACCAGCTTTCATGTTTAGAGGGCATCTCAAGTTGTTGTTTGGAAATGTTTAAATACACCTATAACAAAGGACTACAAATCTGAAAATGTGAGCCTTGTATTTTTTTCACTGAACTAAAAAGGCTGCAGTACAAATAAATAAAGCTCTGTGGCTGACACTGTCTCTTTATCTTTGGCAGAAAATCCCTTCTGGTCACATCTGTATCAATTACACAGCTTCAATTCCACCTTCAGTCCCTTGTGTAAACGTAATGCATAGTTCTGCAGTAATGCAATATAGTTACCCTCTGAACAGTGAACACTTAGATACAGTACTAGATCTTCCATGAGAGATTGTAATATAATATTCTGCCATATTGATTTTAGGCAGTCACCTTTGTCTACAAAAACTATAAACCGATGAATGACAAAGCCTGATGATGTAAGGGGCTAGATTGGATTACTAGATAGGAAACTGTTATTTATCACCCAGAGAAGAGATCTCCTCTGCTCTCGATTCCAGTGGCACCGTGTTTTCACCACTGCATGCATAGCTTTGCAGTGCACATGGCAAGGCTTGGATGCAAGTACTCTATGCACTATTCTTGAGCTAATCTAATAGAAACCTCTCACAATTTGTATCTCATTAAATCATTTTAACACAGTACTGTTCAGTCTGTTTGTATAAGCATGTTCCTTACACATAGCATTGAGAGGAATATGGTATTAGCTTGTAATGCTAGTAGTAGTTAGCCTGGTCACTGACCAAACCAATTAAAAAAATCCCACTGATTTTCCAAGTTGCAACTAACTCATTCAGCTCAGGTGTAACATCTATGCCTGATCCAAGTATGGACTTGAAAGACAAATTGAACACAGCATCACTCCTGTTATCAGGAGAGATCCAAAAAGAAAGCCCTCTGTACTGTTTGTGATCCCTGCTCATAGCCTGTTTTATATCAGGTGATAGTAAACAGGCTAAGAGGATAAAATTCAAATCAAGATGAGACTGGTGGTTCATTCCACTGGAAACTGGACGTTTCACAGGTGCATGAAAGGCCTGAATGAAAAGAGAATTTAAACAGAATCACCCCTACTCTGTCATACTGTGAAAAACTATAAGGCACAGTAAAAGACTTACTGTACCTTATAGTTTTTAGATAAATAGAGCGGATATGCATGTTGGTGTCGTCTCTCGGTGATCAAATACAAACAACTTTGAACAACCTTTAGTTGAAAAAAATGTATATACAAAGGTTTTTAAAGCCCTCCTCAGATAGTAATGAAGTGTTTAATTGTATGCAATTAGAGGTTTTAGTACCCTTCAAATCCCACTGGACCAGCCTTACTGCACACATTGTTTCTTGTGAAAAGCCTACAAGTCTCATCCTTAGAACAAAGTAGGTCACAGACCTTGTTAATATATGGAAGCAAATCGTTACCATATTTCAAATGAAAAAGCATTTTCAGAAATGCTTTTTCATTTTAAGATTGTGGCTGCATTGTTTGACTCATAAATTAAATTAGTAATCAATAATCCTATTTGTATTTTAATTTTCTTCTTCAAGACTGCTTATTCTTTCACTTAATTAAAATGAAACAGAAAAAGACATTTGAGATTTATTTTTCAAAATGTACCCCAGCAAATAGATACCAAAATTCAATTTCAAATTCAATTGAAATGTAAAATTTGAAAATGAAAACGCATTTGCTGAAATGCGTTTTCATTTTAAGAATGTGGCTGCATTATTTGACCCATAAATAACTGCCAGTTCTGCCTGCCACTGCCACAAATTGAGCTCGGCGCTGCTGCAATTCAATCAATTTCTCGGCACGTTTGCCATGTAATGCAATGCAGACGTCCACAGCGCCCCCTACCGAACAAGCTGGGTAGCTCGGTCAGCAGGGAGCTCAGGAAAAGCGGCTGCTGACGTCACTCTGCTGCGCCCGCCGCTCGGAA